ACTGATGAAATGCTAGATTATTTGGCACAATGCGATAATTACTATGAGAAATTCGAAAGGGCAGGAAGTCAGCATAGGGAAGACATAGAGAGACTTTATTTTATTTTATTATCGAGATTTAATTGACATATAACACTGTGTTTAAGATGTACAACATGTTTATGTGATACGCTTATATGGTGGAATGATGACTACCTTAGAGTTAGCTAATAATTTGATTACCAACACCATAATTATCATTTTTTGTGACAAGAATACTAAGATCTAGTCTCTTATGACTTTTTTAAGTTTATGTATTTATTTTGACAGAGAGGCAGAAGAGGAGAGAATCCCAAGCAGGTTTCACATTGTCAGCACAGAGCTCGACGGGCTTGATCCCACAAACCCGTGAGATCATGATCTGTTTTAAATCAAGAGTTGTTGGATAACCGACCGAAATAAATTCATATAGGTGACCCCGTCTCTTAGTAACTTCCAAATTTATAATACAGTATTGTGGGTTATAATTACTATGCTGTGCATTAGATCTCCTGAACTTATGTATCTACTAGTTGCAAGTTAGAGAAGACATTATAAAAGAAGCAAAAGTGCATTCAGTCTTAAAAGATAGGTAGCATTTGGGGAAGTAAGAAATTTTAAGGGATATATATGTATATGTATGTATACGTATGTGTGTATAATATATATATATATATATATTTTTTTTTTTTTACATTTTTTTAAAAAAAGTTTATTTAGAGAGAGAAAGCACACCTGGGAGAGGGGCAGAGAGAGAGGAGAGAGTGAAAATCCCAAGCAAGCTCTGCCCTGGCAGTGCAGAGCCTGATGCAGGGCTTGAACTCACAAACTGTGAGATCATGACCTGAGCCAATGTCAGTTGCTTAACCGACTAAGCCACTTAGGCTCCCCAGGGGGTATATTTTAGGTAAAACCCCAGAGCTTTAAAAGCTAGAATGAGCTTTTAGGGACAGTAGGGAAACTGGCATCACCAGAATAAAGGACCATTTTGAGGAGTGGTATGACATTGGGTAGGTAGCTTAGGGCCAATTTATGGAGATTTTAAGTGACAAGTATAGAAATTTAGATGTGTTGAGTAATGGTTCATAATTCAGTACAGATTCCTAAGGAGACAAGTCACATAATGAAATAATATTTTATAAAGGGCAATCACACAGCAAAAAAAGAAAAAAGATAGGGATAATAAGGAAAAAAGAGGGAGATTGGAGTTTTATAGAGCAAACAGGAGAGTCCTATAATAGTCCCGTCATGATATGGAAAGGCCTGAAGTGATAGGAGACAAACCTATCTAACAAAGTACATAGATACGATGATTATAACATCAGCTAGAAGGTGGTAGGTCAAAAAGCATTGGTTAACTAACATGTAATTAGAGTCACCATAACTTGGAGAATGAAGTTGTCCTCTTTTGTTAATGTGAGGAAGGAAAAGGTCAGAGATGAAAATTTTCTGTTATCTGTTTGTGTCTTTGATGGTGACTATGGAGATGAACTAAGAAACATTTTCAAAGAAGAATTAACAGGACTTAGGGTCTGTTATCGGGAGAGTGAGGATTTTAGTCACTTGAAAGTTTCTTACCTTTAAGTTTTTGTTTCTAAACACCTAAACTTTATCTGAATGTTTTTTTAACATTTATTTATCTTTGAGAGACAGAGACAGAACATGAGCAGGGGAGGGGCAAAGAGAGAGGGAGACACAGAATCTGAAGCAGCCTCCAGGCTCTGAGCTGTTAGCACAGAGCCTGATGTGGGGCTCACACCCATGAACTATGAGATCATGACCTGACCTGAAGTCAGACACTTAACTGACTTAATCACCCAGGCACCCCAAACTTTATCTGAATTTTTAATAAATGGCATTTTGCCAGAGAAATAGACACTACAGATACATCAACCTGAAGGAAAAAAAAACTCTTAAAGCTAAATCTTGATTTTAAAAATGTCCCAGAGAATGCCAGAATCCAGCATTTAGAAAATGTTAATAGGTATCATATATTTTAACCTCTGCTTTCAAATAGTGGGGTTTATTTTTAGATAGTTGGATTGTAATATGTTAGAAATGTAGGAAATGAAACAACATATGTGAGATGATAAGAACCTAAAGAATAACTCTGAAAACAAATTAAGCAGCAAAAATACAAATAAAAATTTTAGTGTGGAAAAAACCCCCAATATAGAAAATTTAAAAATACCAAGAAGAGAGGCAATAGAACTAATTGACTATTAATTATAATATGTATGACAATATATTTATTTTATGATATATTTGATGACTGTTGTGGCTTAAATATAGCTTTCTGATAACACATTGTTTCAGAAGCCTATTTGTATTTTCTATTTGTGCTTTTAGGTAAAGTGTCATATAAGACACTTACCTATTTTCTTATAATATTTTGACATTTGAGTAATATAAATATGTCCCCAATGCAATCTATACCTTCCTTCATGTTTATTCAACAAATCTTAATGAGTTTCTGTTCTCTGTACTTTCCCCCTGCTCTTTACTTTCCAACCTTATGGACACCTGAACACTGTTGATACTTAGGTAGTGAGGACTTTCATTACTGAATGTGTGCCCTGTGTATGTTACCAATACATTTTTAGGAACTGAAAAAGATTTACTGACCCAGACCTAACTAACATTTTTCTCCTGGCTTGATGACTTCATCTTTGCAAGGCTTTATTGTGAGTTAAGCTTCTGTAGTCCTGTTTCAAGATGTAAACACCTTTTGTATCTCATTACACCAAGAATTCTCTTAGGTACTTAGTAGCTTCTTAGTAAATTTTTCAATGATTGGTAAATACCATTTTGCTGGATTCTAATTGATCTCTTTCTAACTGCCTAAAATAGCTACCTACTTCTCTGCTTTGCTTGATGACCTTTTGTTTGGTTATTGATTAATTAGATTGCTTGAATCTTTGTAGACAATGGGAAAAACTTTAAAATTTCTTTTAATCAGTTTATTGCAGATCTAGTTTAGTGTATTTCTCTGTTGATCAGGAAATTTTCTTTTCAAAGGGAGGCAAAATATTGTGTGATACAAGGGAAGGAATTTAAACTCATTCTGTCTTTTTGTGATTGCATTAAAACTTTCCTGTCTTGTATTTTTTAGGAAATATTCTGCCGTACGTAGGGATGGCTCTTTCCATTATGTCCACAGTACTCCCTTTGGCAACTATTCTTTCATCTCTTTGGATGCCACCCAAAATCCAGGGCCCAAGAGACCCTATAATTTCTTTGGAATTTTAGATGAGGTACAGTAAAAATCTCACTTCCCTTTGTAGCTAACCTATTTTTTTTCTTGGATACATGTGGCTCTCTTAAAACTATCCTAGGTAAACAAATTCTAATCAAGAAATTCTTGAAAAAAACATTTACTGTGATTACAAGTATGGCTAGAAGAAATCACTGGGTACTTTAGCACTGTCATCGCTATCCTGTTCATTGCTATCCCTATCCCAAAATCTGGCAAAGAAGTACCTCACATTTTATATAATTCAGTACACATTTATTAAATATGTACTAAGAGCAACATGCACTTTGCAAGGTGTAGGGCATACAGCTTTTATACTATATGGTATATTCCTAAATCCCCATAGTTGCCATTTCTAACTAATGGTCTGTATTTTTTTTTAATAGGAGAAGGGCAACCGTTGAAGTAAATAAGTTTCTTTTAAAGTATTTTTTTTTTGTAAGTTAGATGAAAACTGTTGCTAGATTAAAAGTGTCTGGAAGATCACATGTGAGAAACTCTCATTATTTCTTTTTTTTTTTTTTAACATTGTATTTATTTTTGAGACAGGGAGAGACAGAGCATGAACAGGGGAGGGTCAGAGAGAGGGAGACACAGAATCTGAAACAGGCTCCAGGCTCTGAGCTGTCAGCACAGAGCCCGACGCGGGGCTCGAACTCAAGGACCGCGAGATCATGACCTGAGCTGAAGTCGGCCACTTAACCGACTGAGCCACCCAGGCGCCCCTCTCATTATTTCTTAGTACAACAAATGTCTACTCATTAATGAGCACACGCCCACATGCAAGACAAATGTGGTCATATGTAAGAATACAAAAGTGATAAGTTCAAGTCCTTCATCTCAGAATATTTAATCTAGCAGAGGGGCATAAGACTAGTGCAGAAATAACTACAATAAGGGCAGAATTTGCTAAGTGCTGAAGGAGATTCAGAGTGATATGAGGATTCAGAAGAGCTTGAAATCAAGTGAACAGAATGTTGTGCAATGCATTGTTTTCTAGTAGGCATTTTATTTATTTTTTTTAATTTATTTTTTTTTCAACGTTTATTAGGCATTTTATTTAATGAAGGTATATTTTGTTATCTTGTAATTATCAAAGCCTACTCCTTAATTTTTTTAAGATATTCAAACATCAGGTCTGCATGAAAATCAGTTGGAGTCTTATAAAATGCAGAGACTTATTAATTAGAAACCCTGAAGGTACAGCCCAGGAATTCATTGCTGTAAGCACTTTACAGATCATTCACTTATATTTATACATGTACACATTATATTTGATATAAACTTGAGGGATGATTTACATATAATATGCACTCATTTAAAGAGTTTGAAGAATTTTGACAAGTGTATATACTTGTATAACTGTCACCACAATCAAGATAGAACATTTCTATTATCCCAGGAAGTTGTATAGTCAGTCTTCACCCCAATCCTAGGTAACCACTGATTGGTTTTCTGTCAGTATAGATTAGTTTTGTTTGTTCTAGAATTTATTTTTTAATCTTCTTAAAAATTTTCTTATAATGTTTATTTTTGAGAGAGAGAGACAGAGACAGAGCAAGCAGGGGAGGGGCAGAGAGAGAGGGAGACACACAATTTGAAGCAGGCTCCAGGCTCTGAGCTGTGAACACAGAGCATGATGCAGGCTGAACCCACAAACCATGAGATCGTGACCTGAGTGGAAGTCAGATGCTTAACCAACTAAGCCACCCAGGTGCCCCTAGAATTTTATGTAAATGAAATCATACAGTATTACTCTTGTGTCTAGCTTCTTTTGCTCAGTATAATGTTTTTGAGACTCATCCATACTATCATGTGTTCGAATAGTTCTTTTCTTGTTGCTGCATAGCACTCTGTTGTTTGGATATACTGATGGTTTCTAGATTTTGGCTATCCTGAGTAAAACCGTTTTGAACATTTAGGTATAAGGCTTTTTGTGGACATATGTACATCTTATTTTAGAAGTTTAGTTTCAAGATCCTCTTTTTTTTTTTTTTT